ATTTTTTGATATTAAGGGTTAGTTTATTCGCAATTAACCAGCTACTTAATTTGGCAAGTTCAATATTAACATCTAATTCAAGAGTTTTTAAGCTTTTATTGGCATATAATAGGTTAGTGTCATCAGCATAGAGATAAAATTTAAATTTGTTAGAACATTTATAGATATCATTTACATAAAGCAAAAATAATAATGGACCTAGAATAGAACCTTGAGGGACACCGCACAAGGTGGTTTCTTTATTTGAAGTTACCGTTCCGATCTGTGTTGTTTGAAATCGGTCTTTCAAGTAAGATGCAAACCAATCATTAATAATACCTCTAATCCCATAATGATAAAGCTTACTTAAAAGTATCGAATGGTCAACAGTGTCAAATGCTTTTTTTAAGTCAATGAAAATACCACAAGAAAACAGTTTTTTATCCATGTTACTCTGTATGGCATTTATGATATCCAGAGCAGCATGTTGAGTAGAACGATCCTTACGAAAGCCATATTGCGATTCGAATAAAATGTCATTTTCCTCGATAAAATTAATCAATCTTTTATACATAACTTTTTCAATAATCTTATTAAAATTTGATAATAACGAGATGGGCCGGTAATTATTGGGATCAGTTTCATCGTCATCTTTATATACAGGTACAATCTTGGCAATTTTGAGTTTTTTTGGGTATTTACCTGACCGAATTGAAATATCTATTATTTTTGCTAAAGCATTGCCGAAGAAACTCTTTGCACACTTCAAAATTCTAGTAGGACAAGAGTATAGACCATGAGATTTGTTGTTGGAAAGCAATATAATTTCATACTCGACCTCTTCAGGTGTAGCTGGTTGAAAGAAAAAGGAATCTGAATTTTGGACGGTAGGAARGTAGTCAGAAAAATTATTTGTTGATGGAGGTAATTTTGCTGCTAGGTTGAAACCAACAGATGCAAAATGCTTATTAAGAATATTAGGAATTCTCYCAGAGTCACGTACTATTCCAGTTCCACTAAGCTCCTTAATAGCACATATAGATTTTAACTTTTTCTTTTTGTGATTTATTATGCTATTAATTCCCTGCCAAGTTTTCTTTATATTAGACAMATTATCATCGAAATAAGCTTGGTAATAAAGCTGCTTACTAATTCGAGTTAACCTTGATAATTTGTTTCTATAAAGCCTATATTTTTCTTGATCCCCCGAATGAAAAAGATAATTTTTAATCTTAATTGAAGTTTTTAATCCCTTTGTAATCCAAGGCTTAGAAAATTGTTTAGCTTTATGGCGCGAAAGTTTTACCATAGGTGCATGCTTATTTACAAGGTTATTGATTTTCTTGTAAAAAGAAGAAAAAACTTTATCAGCATCATCATTACAGAAAACGGAAGCCCAGTTAATTTGTTTAAGCTCATCATTAAAGCGATCAGCAGAAAATCGTGAAAAATCACGTAATTTGGTTGCATGATGAGGTTTGTGTACGTTCTTAKTGAGTGAGTTGAAATTAATGCAGAATTGTGCAAAATGATCACTTATATCAGATATTATGTTGCCACTAACCGTTACTTTAGGATTGTTAGTAAGAATGTTATCAATCAAGGTGGCCGATCTAGAAGTGACTCGAGTTGGTTTGTCAATAGTAGGAAATAAATAATAACTTTGTAAAGATAGTAAGAAATT